AAGCACTGTGTAACTGCCTCGAGGGTGCTTGACCATTTCAACACAACGTGGTGCGATCATCCCCCTTGCGCGGAGTGAGGGTTCTCCACCCCGCACAACATGATCTACTCGAACACCATTATGGTTACCGCCAAACAAAAAAAAACGGGAGGTAAAAAAAAAAAACGGTAACCTGGTTGCCCGAGTTCACGAAGTGAATTGGCTTGTTTTACAGCGTCTTTGCCAAGCGACGAAAACCCAATCCCGATGGCAAACACCGAGGGAGACGGCTTGTTTTACAACGTCGTTGCCAACCGACGAAAACCCAACCCCGATGGAAAACACCGAGGGGGACGGCTTGTTTTACAACGTCGTTGCGACGAAAACCCAACCCCGATGGCAAACACCGGGGGGGGCGATTCTCATTGGAGGGGAGGGGGAACAAAGCAATTTACGGTACCCAACTCTGCTGCATTTCATTGTAATCTGTGCCTGGTTTTGCACGTACATCAACAGTGGCATGAAGATTGGTATCGTGGCCGGGTATTTCTGCAACGAGCCGTATATGGCTTGCATCGAAAAAAACGGGTTCTCGAGGTAGAGGTTTAGCAAAACACCCCCGACAGCAAGCCCCCCCCCCCTCGCCCCCCTCGTACAAGATGTTGATATGGGTCTGAGTTCGTCGGGAGACGTATCAAGCTTCGCGAAATGCTGTTGGTAAAACTAATGCCAGATCGATCGGATACCCACTCCCACCGCCTGCGGAAAAGAGCTGTTCCGAAAAGCGAACCCACCCCTCATTACTTTTTTATTCGCTCCCCCCTTGTGAACGCAGGTGCCCTCTCTGATTTGCCCATTCAAGGAGTATGCGAGTGAGGCACAGCAGGAATGGAGCAAGAGGTTCGAGTCTATTCGTAAGGACATCGAATGCTTGTTCGGACGACTCAAGGGGCGATTTAGGCTTTTCAAGACCGGCATCTTGTTCGGAACCCGGGAGAAGATCGACAACGCTTGGTTCACGGCGTGCATCATCCACAACATGCTACACCAGTTCGACGGTCTCGCAAACCTGGAGAAAGACGTGGACTGGGCAGGTAAAGACGGGGAGGCGGACCAGACCACGGGCGCATTTCCTGTCCCGACGGCTGTGGTCGACACTGCCGGGGAGGAGGTGGACGATGGCGACAACACCGAAGCGTTCAAGCTCTTCAGGCAGCAGCTCGTAAATCACGTCGCCTACAAAAAGTAGCGGGGGGAAATTTGTTGGTTTCGGGGGGCTTGAATTTGTTCCACTATTTGTTTTCGGTCACCACTTCTAAGGTAGAATAGTAATATTTTCTCCAAGTACTGCCCCGTCTCCCCTCCGACCTTATGTATGTCTGGTGTACATAAAAGAGGTTTGAACGAGAAGTGGGTGAACGCAAGAGTGTTGGCCGTTTTGGTGTACGGCGCCCCTCGTCCGTTCGGAGTGTTCTGTGGTTGGTTGTAGCCTTGTCGTCTCTGCTGGTATAAACCAGTTGATACACTTTCGAACCCAGGTTCCTTCTCTTGCTTTTGTGTGACCCCCGTGTAGGTATTGTTTATTTTGAAGTATGCGATGTGTACCTCGCTGCTTCTTTTCATCATGTGCCCCGTGCAAGGCTTGAACTGTCGAGTGTCGAATCCTACCCGCTGTTGCTACAGTCGATAGTTCGTATATTCACGTGTTGTGTTTGGTTGCCGTCAAATGCATGAACTAAATGCACATTTGGTACGTGCTTTCCGTAAAGAAGGTAGCTTTTGGATGTGTAACAAATATATCCAACTAGAATAAACCGGAGTATCTGTTGCTGTGTTGTCTGTGTGTGTGTGTGTGTTTTCAAGCAAGACCGGCGCATCTTGAAGTCTCTGTGTGTTGTTGATGTGTTGTCTTTTTTTCGAACAAAACCGGCGCGTCTCGAACTCTCAGGCATGTTGTAGATGTGTTTTTTTTTTTCAAGCAAGACCGGCGCGTCTCGAAGTCTCTGTGTGTTGTTGATGTGTCGTCAGGTTTTCAAACAAGACCGGCGCGTCTCGAACTCTCAGGCATGTTGTTGATGTGTTGTCTTTTTTTCAAACAACACCGGCGCTTCTCGAACTCTCAGGCATGTTGTTGATGTGCTTTTTTTTCCAAGCAGGACCGGCGCGTCTCGAAGTCTCTGTGTGTTGTTGGTGTGTTGTGATTTTTTCAAACAAGACCGGCGCGTCTCGACCTCTCAGGCTTGTTGTTGATATGTTGTCAGGTTTTCAAACAAGACCGGCGCGTCTCGAACTCTCTTGTGTGTTATTGCTGCTGTGTCTCTTGTGACTTTTTTTTTCAAACAAGACCGACGTGTCTCGAAGTCTCTGTGTGTTGTTGATGTGTTGTCTTTTTTTAAACAAGACCGGCGCGTCTCGAACTCTCAGGCATGTTGTTGATGTGTTGTCTTTTTTTGAAACAACACCGGCGCTTCTCGAACTCTCAGGCATGTTGTTGATGTGTTTTTTTTTCTAAGCAGGACCGGCGCGTCTCGAAGTCTCTGTGTGTTGTTGGTGTGTTGTCTTTTTTTCAAACAAGACCGGCGCGTCTCGACCTCTCAGGCATGTTGTTGATGTGTTTTCAGGTTTTCAAACAAGACCGGCGCGTCTCGAACTCTCTGTGTGTTAATTGCTGCTGTGTCTCTTGTGACTTTTTTTTCAAACAAGACCGATGTGTCCCGAAGTCTCTGTGTGTTGTTGATGTGTTGTCTTTTTTCAAACAAGACCGGCGCGTCTCGAACTCTCATACGTGTTGTTGCTGCTGGGTTGTCGCTTGTGCTTTTTTCTTCAAGCAAGACCGACGTGTCTCGAACTCTCTGTATGTTGTTCAAATGTGTTGTCTTTTTTTCAAGCAAAACAGGCGTATCTCAAACTCAGACATGCTGTCGCTGTGTCGCTTTTTGTTTTACGAAACACCGAGACATCTCGCATTATCTGGCAGGATGTATGCACAAACACGACCACATAGGCTTCCGGCCCATCCGAACATCCGTGCGTTTACAATGTGTCTGGAACAATATTCTATTTGGTTTCTAACCCAAACTCAACGTATCCCGGCTGCTGTCTCGACGCTGCCACTGCGATAGTACCGGCCCGCTAGAAAGGAACATTCAACCGGGGCAGCTTTGCTCACGTAAAACCAGAGCCGACCGCCGCCCGAACATAAATAAGTTAGTGTTTCCGCCCAGGGTGGCCAATTTTTTGTACTTTCAGCCTTGCTTGCTTCGACGAGCCGTTACTGTCTGGTGTTTGACGCAACGAGCCTCGCCTGCTCGGTCGTCCCTTCCGTGCTTATTTCAGAGCAGAGAGAGCAGCATGTCCCCTAAAAAAACAACATAAAACCAGCCCGAATCCACGTCGTCCACATCTCTACTTCACTCCTGAAGGTAGCCTCACTTGCGTTAACCTATTGAACACCGGAAACAAATAGAAGAACGGTTGCATTTTCTGAACACAAAACACCACCTCGGAAACACCTCTGCCCTACTGCTGCGATCTCGTTGGTAATCCCGCGAAAACAAACGCGCGGCCTTGTTGGTTTGAAGGTAAATTACTTGGCTATGGACGCATTGATGCTTTCGTGCTGAAGCACAGAACAATCGGGCAAACACAACGGCAAAAAACCCAAGTATCTTTAGACTGTGCAAAGGCAATAGCGCAAGACAGTGGGTTGTTCCCCCTCTCCGTCATGATTCAATCTCCTTCCGCAAGAGGGCGTCCAGCTCCGCAACGATAGCAGGGTTTTTCCCACCGGCTATCATGTTCCTCTTCTCGAGGGCGGCAATTTTCCGGGCCCTCTTCGCTACCACTTCCTTTCCCTCTTCAATCGTCGCCAGTCGCTTCGTTTGCCCCACCATCTCCTCGCTGTTTTGGTTCGAAACAACCATGGCCGCCACACCCTGCCTCCTTGCGTCCGCTGCTTCCTTCGCGCGGTCCTCCGATATCTTGTCCCTCGCTGCCTGGCGCACCTGAGCCTTCTCCTCCTTGATGGCCCTCTCAGTCTCGCGGCGACTCACGCTCTGGCCATTGTTGTTGACCATCGTTCGCGCAGCAGTAGACATGGCCGCGGGGCTGGAACAGGGATTTGACGATCCCGTAGCAAGCTGGTCCTCCTTGCTGCTCTTGAGTGTCGCCCCTTCGGACGCCATCAGACGGTTCCACTCAGAGAGAGCGATTCCACCCCAGGCCGATCAGATCGCCGTCAACAGGGCGTACACGTGAAACCACCCGACAGGTATTGGCTCGAACTCGCGAGGGGAGGGGGACGGGGTGCCTTCATCATCCGCGACACTGCTGTCGTCGTCGGAGTTCTCGTCATCACAAGCACCACCAGAAGCCCCCCCGACCGTCTCGGCCGCCCCAGCCGCCCCGGCCGCCGCGGCGTCACCGCTGCCCCCGCCCTCAGCACCGCTGCTTCCGCCCGCAGCACCGCTGTTGCCAACCCAAACGAGGATGCTGCACTCGTCCTTGACGTTTGTCTGCGGGCATGAAAAGTACTCCCTGTCGGTGGTCCCCTGCGCGGTAGGGTGGTGATTGGGGACGGGATGGCGCGGCAAAACAGGAGAAGAATATGAAGGAAAGATTCGTCATAACAAACGGTCACGCTTGTTATGACGACCGTCTAAACAGCCGTGCTTATAAATCAGTATCAAAAGGATCCACCCACGCTTTACCGATCCTTAGTAACCAAGACAAAGCAACAACCCTGTGTGGTATGTGAGTACGAAGAGAGATACCCAGTACATTCCAAGGTTCGCCTTCCAAACATCCCGCCACACTTCATCGCTTCTAAACACACAAGGTAAGCACCGTACGAATACTGGACACCTGTGGTTCGTTCGTTTCGGACCCGGCTGGTGCATCAAGCGTACGCCGGTTTCTTTAGTCTTGCTTCTAGATCGGAATGAAATGGGACAAAGCGCACCACTCTTCCCGGCATGGTCCCTATGATGCACTTTGCTGGGACTGCGCATTCGCACAGCGGTGCTGATGCCGTCGCCTCCGCCTCGGCTCCTGCTGCCGCTACCGCTGTCGCTGTGGCTGCCGTGGTCGCTGCCGCCGCCGCCGCCGCTGAGTACGAGCCTTCGACACTGAGGTCGACGACTGCAGCAGACGATGTAGCCTTGCCGGCAGTCTTGGATGACCTCTCACTTGTCCATCTTCTCCCGAATATCTCTCGTGAAGGCTGTCTTCAGCTGCGTGAACTTGCCCCACGCGGATTAAAAGAGGTTCGAACGAGAAGTGGGTGAACGCAAGAGTGTTGGCCGTTTTGGTGTACGGTGCCCCTCGTCCGTTCGGAGTGTTCTGTGGTTGGTTGTAGCCCTGTCGTCTCTGCTGGTATAGCTAAACCAGTTGGTACACTTTCGAACCCAGGTTCCTTCTCTTGCTTTTGTGCGACCCCCGTGTAGGTATTGTTTATTTTGAAGTATGCGATGTGTACCTCGCTGCTTCTTTTCATCATGTGCCCCGTGCAAGGCTTGAACTGTCGAGTGTCGAATCCTACCCGCTGTTGCTACAGTCGATATTTCGTATATTCACGTGTTGTGTTTGGTTGCCGTCAAATGCATGAACTAAATGCACATTTGGTACGTGCTTTCCGTAAAGGTAGCTTTTGGATGTGTAACAAATATATCCAACTAGAATAAACCGGAGTATCTGTTGCTGTGTTGTCTGTGTGTGTGTGTGTTTTCAAGCAAGACCGGCGCGTCTCGAAGTCTCTGTGTGTTGTTGGTGTGTTGTCTTTTTTTCAAACGACACCGGCGCGTCTCGACCTCTCAGGCATGTTGTTGATGTCTTGTCAGGTTTTCAAACAAGACCGGCGCGTCTCGAACTCTCTGTGTGTTATTGCTGCTGTGTCTCTTGTGACTTTTTTTTTCAAACAAGACCGACGTGTCTCGAAGTCTCTGTGTGTTGTTGATGTGTTGTCTTTTTCAAACAAGACCGACGTGTCTCGAAGTCTCTGTGTGTTTAACTGTTGTTGATGTGTTGTCTTGTTTGAAACAAGACCGGCGCGTCTCGAACTCTCAGGCGTGTTGTTGCTGCTGGGTTGTCTCTGTGTGCTTTTTTCTTCAAGCAAGACCGACGTGTCTCGAACTCTCTGTATGTTGTTCAAATGTGTTGTCTATTTTTCAAGCAAAACAGACGTATCTCAAACTCAGACACGCTGCCGCTGTGTCGCTTTTTGTTTTAAGAAACACCGAGACATCTCGCATTATCTGGCAGGATGTATGCACAAACACGACCACATAGGCTTCCGGCCCATCCGAACATCCGTGCGTTTAAAATGTGTCTGGAACAATATTCTATTTGGTTTCTAACCCAAACTCAACGTATCCCGGCTGCTGTCTCGACGCTGCCACTGCGATAGTACCGGCCCGCTAGAAAGGAACATTCAACCGGGGCAGCTTTGCTCACGTAAAACCAGAGCCGACCGCCGCCCGAACATAAATAAGTTAGTGTTTCCGCCCAGGGTGGCCAATTTTTTGTACTTTCAGCCTTGCTTGCTTCGACGAGCCGTTACTGTCTGGTGTTTGACGCAACGAGCCTCGCCTGCTCGGTCGTCCCTTCCGTGCTTATTTCAGAGCAGAGAGAGCAGCATGTCCCCTAAAAAAACAACAGAAACCCAGCCCGAATCCACGTCGTCCACATCTCTACTTCACTCCTGAAGGTAGCCTCACTTGCGTTAACCTATTGAACACCGGAAACAAATAGAAGAACGGTTGCATTTTCTGAACACAAAACACCACCTCGGAAACACCTCTGCCCTACTGCTGCGATCTCGTTAGTAATCCCGCGAAAACAAACGCGCGGCCTTGTTGGTTTGAACGTTAATATACTTGGCTATGGACGCATTGATGCTTTCGTGCCGAAGCACAGAACAATCGGGCAAACACAACGGCAAAAAACCCAAGTATCTTTAGACTGTGCAAAGGCAATAGCGCAAGACAGTGGGTTGGGCCCCCTCTCCGTCATGATTCAATCTCCTCCCGCAAGAGGGCGTCCAGCTCCGCAACGATAGCAGGGTTTTTGCCACCGGCTATCATGTTCCTCTTCTCGAGGGCGGCAATTTTCCGGGCCCTCTTCGCTACCACTTCCTTTCCGTCTTCACTCGTCGCCAGTGGCTTCACTTGCCCCACATCTCCTCGCTGTTTTGGTTCGAAACAACCATGGCCGCCACACCCTGCCTCCTTGCGTCCGCTGCTTCCTTCGCGCGGTCCTCCGATATCTTGTCCCTCGCTGCCTGGCGCACCTGAGCCTTCTCCT